TTCACATTTTCCACGCTATCCTCTTCGGCCAATTTCCATTCTAACTTTTTTTTTGTATCATTAGTAATATGTGTGATTAGCTCTTTTTATTGATATAAGTTTTTTTTTTCTGTGTTGTATTATCTGGCAATGGATTGTTAAAATTTTCAATTCACCTGATTAACATCTTAATTCAGTGGTTCTTAAACTTCTAAGAGTCACAGACCTTTTAGGAGGCAACGTTATCCCCATTGGGATCTGTGGTAACACAAAACAAATTGTGATTTTTTCTCCTGTTTGTTATGTAAGCTTCATTATTGTAAAAATATTTTGTCGCGTTCGTTATACTGATACTGACAATGAATGAAAAAAACAATCCGCAGTTGGAAACTATTTTTGTGTCCTGATTGGCTTGCTATAGCGCCACTCGGGTGACGTCACAAGCTCCGTCCCACTTTGACATGTCATGTAAGGCGGGACAACGCGAAAAAGAATGGGACGTAGCTTTAATCATAGCACGTGGAATTCAAATGAATGTCGTGACTAATGTATAAAATATTTAGTTATATAGTTGTAGGTGTATAGTTCGTTATGCTATTTGAATTAAGTCTAACTACACCGAATTAAGGATTTTTATATAAAAAAATAGTATTGTGTGTGAGCACCGACTACACACCTCTGTCAAAAAAGGGGCTGGGCTAAGGCTGGCCGCTGAGACGAGATGCCAGCTATTAAACTTCCTTCTACTCCACATGCAACCAGCTTACTCCTTGCCCCTTCCACAATCTAATGGGAGCTATACAACTTTACATGCAAAATTTGGTTGCCTCGTACATGTATGCGATAATATTAATCTTCCAAGTAAACAATCTAAAAGGACATATTTTAAAGCAAAAAGTAATAGCCACTCATAATAATGGCTAAGGGTTAAAATAAACATATGTACTAGATATAAAAGGCCTTATAACACTATGGTAAATTATTGTGGCGAAATGGGGAAAATGAGTTCACGATTAAGATAAAATGTATTAAATATCAAAGGTTATAGAGCGTTATGACAGTGAAAAGGGCAAAGAGAGGGGAGGAAAGGCGGAGATTAGTAAAAGGGGAATGGGTTAAGAGTGTAGGGTAATTAGATGAGATGGAAAATATCTGTATCTGGGGAAGGAAGAGGAAATTTGTATAAGGAAAACAGGCAAAGGAGGAGAAAGATCTGGAGAAGGACACTGCTGTGGCATAAGGGAGTCACGTGAGCATCCGAGTGTGGGTGGTAAGGTTAATAGGGAAAGAAGAGGAAATGGTAGAGCATATGGAGAAGGAGAGGATGTGGTGTTTTGGGAGAGAGTGGGAGGAAGAGCAGTAGGGGGAACTTCAGGAGGAGGAGCATGGATATTAAAAAATACTTTTTAATGTCGAGCGAAGAGGAATAGAAGGATTGGAGGGTGGATGAGGGAGTGGAGCATTCTCTTGGGTTATGTTTAGGAGCTTTTGGATATCTTCAAGAGTTTCTGGAGGGGAGTTGGGTGGGGAGGACTGAGAAACAAAGGTTTTCTTGTGAGGAGGAGAAGAGTGGATAGATGTCCGAGGAGCAGAGGAAGAGGTGGGTGTAGGAGAGGATGGGATGGAACGCTTTGATTGTCTAGTGCGACAGATAGAGTGGGGAGGAGGGTTAGACACAGGGAAGTGGCAGAGATTGGAGTATTTGGATTTTGACTGGGGGAGGCAGGATGGCTCCGGGTAGAGGGAAGAGATTCTGGGGGAGAAGCTGAGACATCTTGAGAAGGTGGGAGAGGAGCGAAGCGAAGAACAGTTTTGGAATAGGTAGAGAAAAAAACCTCGTCGGCGTGCTTCCTGCCTTGCCTCACGTAGAGTGACGCCTAGTTTAAATCTAAGAACTGCTACCTCAGATCCGAACTTGTAGACATGGCAGTTCCTATAAAATACATTATGGGAGCCACAGTAACAGGGAAAGGATCGATATACTCGGACAGGGCAGGACACTCCACCAATATAAACTTCACGGGGGAGGTCGTGTTTTACGGAAGCTAACCTTGGCAATATTAGTGTAGGACTTACGCTAGCCTCTTGGAGGAACGGTGTAGCTCTGTACTGTCGCACTGCATCTTACTCAACGAGGCAGGCGAGCAGGTCGTTTTCACAGTCTGGCCAGTTCTTGTTGCAGACAAGACAATTAGTTGGGGAGACGGAAACAGTTCCGGTACAATTATTAAGATATGAGTGAGGTTGAGATGGAATAGATTTGCCAGTGAGGTCAGTCAGGGTAGATGGTACAGGAGCTGGGGACTCGGATGTAACTGCGACAGAGCGTGAACGATTGGAACGACTGCGAAACGATACTTTGCATATTTGTTTTTGTAGACAATGTTGGTAGAATCAGAGTAAGGGGCTGTAGGGGGAACCAAAAAGAATTGATCCCGCTTGGCTGGACCAAAAAACACTAAAGGTTTGTAGAGCTGGAAGCACTAAAAGGACAAGCGCGGGATTACACTAGGAGATGGAGTGTAGGATGCTGGGGGAGAGGAAGGGATGTATTCTGAAGATTGAGTAACGCCCTGGGTGGATGATTCGGAATGGATATAGTTGAGTATCAGTGGTCGGAGTCGGTCTACACTTAGGGTCCCCATGAGGGTTAAGGGCGATCCGATTAACCAAGGGAATACAATGCCCACGGCTCCCGGAGGCCGTTCAGAACTGACACAAAGCCAGCCTGCTATCCTTTCAGCACGGCTCTTACATCTTAGGAAGTAGACAGGAAAAGGGAAATGAACAAGAGAAGGAATATGAAAGGGGGAGAAGAAAAGATCATGCACAGTTTGTTGAGGCAAGGGCTGGATAAGTGGACAGAAGAAGGGGATGAAGCAGAGAAAAGAAAAGACCATACAAAATTTGGTGATCCCCTACGTTGGGCCTCTGTCACTGTCTCCTAAGTTCCACCACGACGAGGAAAGGATTGGGGGACTTATTAAAACAATGCGATACAATTTTCATGGTAACGTGTCGGCCTCTCATCCGAGGGGTCAGCGGTTCGCGCCCCGCCCAGGCGCGAGAAGTTGCAATAGTCGCTTGGAGGTTTCTTACTGCTGCGGGTAAGGACTAAACTCAGTCGAGTCAGCACCAGCTGACACACGTTTGCGAGTCGGCATTAGTCGACACATGAGCATAGCCCGGGGAGGCTCAGCTTCGCATCTTACTTATCCTTAGTTTTCATGTAGTCAACACATCCACTATGACTACTACTACTAATACATGAGCAAGATAGATGCCTTGCGAATACAGACGTTAATTTTTGCTTGATCCTCATAGACCTCTGAAATCCATCCATGGATCCCCAAAGGGCCCATGGACCCCAGGTTTAAACCTGTAGTCTATGTGTTTCTTATTTGGATTGGGATATTTTTTTTTTATTGCTATCCATTTTCATCATTCTCTTTGATCGTTTCCTACATTTATGTTTTAATTAAATTTAGTAATGATGATATCCTAGTAACTTTGTGTGTTATGTTTCTATCTTTTGATTACGGATTTCCATGCATGTCTATCTTGATAATTCTTCTAAATTGTTTGGTGTTTGACATGCAAGATCATTTATTCATCTTTAAATTGCACTACTTGTCTTGTTCGTACCAGTAGAATGTTCTGCTGTTTTCTGCAATTCACGATTATAGTTTATTTGTGTAGTGATATTTTTGTCTTTCCCTTCACATTTGCTGCATTTTTCCATTAAACGGTGTCACACATATACATACACACATACATACATACATACATACACATACACACACACACACACACACGCACACACACACAGCATAAATATATACATAAACAGACATATAGGTACATGAATATATGCACTGTCTACCTAGTGTATAGGTCTTGAGAGGGATCCACTTAAATTGGTCTTTGAGTTTTGCATGACTATGAATCCATGCAAAGGGAATGCAAGGAAACGGTACCTTTACAATGAAAACTGCGATTGGATTCGATATAACTACGGATCTGATCTACTCCGATGAAAATCAACATCCAAATATAAAGGTCTGTTTATTTTGACATCAGTAACTGGGCACATAATCTGGTCATAGAAATGTCAATAAAAAATATGTGGGACACACCAATGAAAAATACATTTTACTGAATAAAATAATAATAATAATAATGAAGACAACGATGATGATGATAATAATAATAGTAATAATAATAATCATAGCAATAATTATAATAAGAATAATTAAAATAATAAAAATAAGTATAATAATTATGATGATGATGATGATGATTATGATTATTATCATGATGATGATGATAGCAATAATAATAATAATAATAATAAAAATAATAGTAATAATAATAGTAATAATGTTGATAATAATAATAATAATAATAATAATAGTAATAATAATAATAATAATAATAAAAATAATAACAATAACAATAATAATAATAATAATAATTATAATAATAATAATAATAACAATAACAATAATAATGATAATAAAAATAATAATGAAAAGGATAGTAACAACAATACAAACAACAACAATAAGAATAATCTCTCTAGTCCAAAGGATATATGACCAGAACAAATTATCTTCACAATTATCACATAAATGAAAGTTTTTTTCATTTGTTGTATGTCAAAAGGAGCAAGTTCTTGTCGTTATTATGGATTTGGTCTTATCTTAATTATCTGCATTTAACTCAATAATAATATCTTGTGATTAACTCCTATATAATTTACTTTCCATGTATAGCAAACAAGCATAGTGATTCATTGCCTTTTTCATTCTTTTCAAAACACTTTCCTCAAGATTTTTCTCTCCTTTGCCTGCCTCCCATACATGGTGGAGTCAACTCATTGTATTCCAAGTATTTTGTAAGCAAAGTAAACAAGTTAGTGAAGCATAAAAACTGGGAAACTCTATACTTTCCCCCATCTAAATATTTTAATGAAAAGTTACATATTTACTTGAAAGTTTGCAGTAAAAAAACATTACATGTATATCACCAAGCTCTTATATTTCAATAAAGGGACACATGTAAAATATAATAAAATATGTATATGCAGTATTACATTCTCTTCCCTAAACTATCCAATTCAATTTCTTTACTAGTTCTCATCCTCTAGCAGATTAATCCCTTTAGGTCATGTATCAAAGTATGTATATTTTACAAAAATAGATGATACAAATGCAATTTGAACTTTCTGGACAGATGCAAATGTTCTGACTCTTTACTTCTAGCTGGAACCTAGGTGTAAAAACCACGCTTAGAAATGACTAAAATCAGCTGGTTTCCACATGAACACAACCTTTGACAATTAACAGCACACATTGCTCTTATCATTGCAGACGTTGAGCAAGGAAGGTTAAAGAAAGAAAGGATAAAAGGCTATATGGATATACAGTTAAATAAGTTTTTTCATGTGACAAAACTCTGAAAAGCCAAACTCTTGCAGACAGTAAGTGACTGTGAGACAATCTTGTTTTGAAAGCATGAAAATAAGTGACTGTATGAAAGAGCTCAAGATCCTCAAAATCATCACTGTTTCTGTGAGTTTAGCCAGTCCAGGATGGTGCTCGAATAGGCTTCCACCCAACGGATATTTGAACGCACTGTCTCAAGAGCCTGCTGGCGGTTGAGCTCACCAGCTCCTGCTTCTGGATACTTGGCAAAGAACTCTTCCATCTGGGGAGGATTACAGAGAAACTCTATTAGAAAAACATAGTAATTAATGCCAAGGCAAGGAACAATATCTTGTACCAAACACATTTCAGTACTAATCTAAAAATTACTTTAACAAGTTATCCAATAGTTACTTTGACTATGTTGCACAGAACAAATTAGAAAGGGTATAGTTTATAAAACTGAATAATACTAGTTTTATTACCTCTGAGAGTTTCCGTGGCGTTGAAAAATATTTACTTATATTTGGGATCAGCTGACCCAGGTACCTGTCATTTAGGGTATACCGATCCACCAGCCATTCCCAGTTGGACCTTCAAGAAGAAAGAAAACCAAAGGCATCAAAGTCAAGTGACACTGAGCTGCAGTTTCTGAGGGGGGGGGGGATGCACTTGTATATAAATGTATATTTACATATGTATAAATGTATAGTTAATATTGTTATAGTAATAATATTGCTAACAAGAACAATATTAATTGAATCAGCTCAAATGGCAAGAATACATATGCCTACTATAGTATTAGTTCATTAACCAAGGAGTCAATTACTAGTCTTACCTATCCCACTTGTTTACCTTTTTCCTTGAATTTTGGAATTATTTTTATCATATTATTGTCTTTACTGTTATTAGTATTTTGACAATATTACAATAATTATATCAATAATGATAATAACAAAAGTATCAATATTAAAAGCATTGGAAAGAAAAACACATTTTCCCACAAATTTAAGGAATGGGGAAATCAGGGGCAGTCACCGGAGCCTACTAACCAATTCCTTGTTGGCAGAGAACATGTGAAGCCATTTGAAAGCAACAACATTCACAAAAAAAACTAAATTAGCTATTACATAACCCCCAAGCAAATGTGTTCATACTGATAATAAATACATTAAAAATCAAACATTTCACTGAAAATTCTAGTGATTTATACAGCAACTAATATTTGCAAATTTTAAAGACATACCTCACCCAATTCCATGTCAGGTCAGAGCCTGCAGGGTTGGAAGCCATGTATTGAAGAATATGCAGGAAATTCTGACTTCTCACATTATTTTCATCCTGAGACAACTCAATGTACCTGATAAAACAAGAGGGAATCTAATCTTAGTATAAATAAAAACAAATAACATCAGACTACTTTCACAATTCTCCCCAAAACAAACACCAAAGTATATCTACAGTCTTTTCCTCACCTCTCCAAAATGACTGTATCCTGGAAATTGGCCATTCCATAGTACAAGTTATCTGTTTCTGTTGCACTCATCTCCGTCAGAGCTCGCTGCCACATTGTGTCCCACATCTCCTGGGTTCCTCCTTGCACCACTCCCCACCGGTACACCTGCACAGACAGGGGAAGTAAGGAATGCCATGAAA